GTCGTTTACTTCTGAATGTTACTTGGCCTGTAGAAAAAGGTTTAATTGCTAGGCATAGTGCAATGCGAACCACACCCAGGGAGAATGGGTGTGCCCAAACGGAGGGAGCAATGCCGTTATGTGAAACATTATACGAAACGGGAAATCGGTCTCATTCCGCTATGAGGGAGCATCTGTGAACTTACCAGAATATGATGGCTTATTCTAAGAGTCCGAAAAACTCCTTCGGAGATTACGAAATGTGCATTTTCCTGGTGCAAACCAGGGTACAAGCATCGGGAAACGGGTTGAATATATCGATGTGAGTACGACCCCCTTTGAGCTTCGCCTTTCGATGCGCCCCCTCAATGGCCGACTCACCCAGCATCTTACCAAATTTTCGCCGTCCAGGAAAGAAGGAGGGAGGGTGGAATAGCACTTTTGGCCAGGCCAGCGATTAGGGGAAAAGTCTGTGGTGGTCAAGGACGACCAGAGAATGTCGTACGTCTGAGTTACCTTGCGAGGCGGGTCGTATTTGCCTTTGTGATGAGTGAATCCGTTTGTTGACTTTTCACGGTTTTTTTTTTCGTTTCGGGTGCGCTATATCCAGGGAAAATGTAGGGAATTGGCAGAATTCAGAGAAATTGTAAGAAGGATGGGAAAGAACAGGGGAGGAAATTGAGGGTGGTCGTACCTTGCAAAACGTTTCGGCAATGGCAGGAACGCACCCCGAATACGACCTCCCCTGATTGGTTCCGCACAACGATGTTGCACCTCACTGCATGCGGATTTATACATTTTACTGCAATACCCCGGACCAGCAGAGCACCTAGGACATTACGATATCACAAACTACCCCAAGCGAAGAACAACCGGGGTCCGGCCCGGGTGACAGGAACATACGGCGTTGTAATTTTTGGCAACTGTTCGGCTCAGAGGGGGCATATTTGTGTAATGCTATTTCTTTTGTTCGCACATGTTAAATGCAAGCAGGAATGCTCGTGTGGGAATGGTGCTAGTGGAGAGTGAAACACCTTGATCACAGTAATGTACAGGTATGTATCCACAAGGGGGCGTGTATAAATCTAGCTGAGTAACATTTGCTGGTTCCATCAAGCAGAACTGAGCCAAATTTTTTTTTTGCTAAATACGACCCCTTTCACAGTCCAGAAATAATGGTTTTCGACAGGCAACTCCTGCTCGGGGAGTATATAACGCGCATTAAACAAGAGTATCATTATGCGGAAATTGTTGGGACTCTATACAACCCCCACTCCTGGGTGGCCAAGTATGACCCCGGCGGAATTTTACACAACAATCATACGCCCAGATAATTGCCACCGCTGCCTCACGAAGCAGTTTTTGGCCTAAAGGCATTGGTTTATCAATTCTTGAGCTCCCAGACCCCCGCAAAAATACTCAACGTCTGGCTCACAATGCTTTTTCTGCACTTCTTGTACTGAATTCCACCGAATACGAAACAATCCGAGAAATAGTGAATGCTTCTGCAACTGGTACCATTTCTTAGCACTACAAGTCCAATTATACGAAATCAGGCGCCGTTCGGCTTGGGAGGGGTTTTTTGCACTTTCGCTACCTCCTTTTACTAGTGCCCGTTAACCTACACATGTCGACTTGATGAAACCTGTAGACTCCTGTCAAGTGTAAAGCGAAAGTCTTGCTATCGCATAGCTTCGCAGGAATTTGCAAGCCACCAGGGCATCGGCAGTGAAAGATGGGAACTTGCAAAATGCCCCTACTAATTCGAGCTGCTCCTAGAATTTCTCCGAGTGACTATTTACAAAATACCCTCCCGTCTAATGAACTTGCTGCCGAAAACTCATAAAAATCGGCCAGATGTTGACCAGATCCCTCTCACTATTTACTGAGTGACGTTCAAGACATTTACGAAGTGAAAGGGCTAGGGGAACAGTTCAAAATAAAAGCTTCTCTGAGGCACAAAAAGGGAGGCTCTCGATCCCTCAGTTGCGTGTGCTATGTGGTCCTGCAGCTCTTTTATTTCACGACAAAGATCCAGACTTGCCCCCCATCCCTCTCGAAACATGTTATTTTCTTTTAAAGCGCTACTAAGTAATCAATAATCAAGTGCAAAAGTCATATTTGAAACAGATGTGCGAGGTTGAGCACGACAAACAGCAAAGACTACGTGCTCATCAGCAACGGCCAATTATTACAGCTCAATGACGACGGGGGCAGAGCTTGATCAGTGGAGCGCGACCGACCACCACTTGGAGCGCGACACTTCGACGAGTGGCCCTCCTTGGTAGCTTCTTCTCTTCTGCATCACACCCGATCAATAAGCGACTTTTTCTTTCCCACTTAGGAAATGCTTAAGATATGACGTCCTTGAACAAACTCAGTTACTCTTGGTTTTATTGCTTTCATGGCTTCTACATTTGACGTATGATGAGCCGCTATAAACAATTAGTATCTGTTGGTCCAGTCTTTAAGGCTAGCTTGTAACATACAGAACCCTCTCTGGAGGTAATTCATTATTTTCTCAAAAAGGGCTATAAATTGCTTAGTTACGTACTTGAAGTTACAATTAATTCAAGTGGTGAGGCCACAATTGAATCCATTTGGCAGCAATAATTTGATGTTTCGCTAGGTCGTCAATACCCTCTGCCCTCGTCCAGTTAGTTCAGTATCTGTATCTTCAGCTTGTTTTGGTCCCTCTGGGCCAATGTCAATTCACGTCCAACCCGTTTAACGCGCTGAAGACAATCGCGTTTTGCGCGGGAAAGCGCCACGTGGGACAATGGTGTGCTTTCGTATGCGTCCGCCCTGAGCCATCGGTGGCTCATATTGTCCCTCGTGAACCACTTTTTCCGCTATGTCAAATTTCGCAAAATGATAAGAGAAATCGTGTAGAAACTGCTATTTCAACCATCTTTGACCCTATTGGATGCCATCTCATGCCCCGCCCTTGCGATCACGCCCACTTTTTAGCGCGATCGTAATTTCCAAAATGTATGCCATAACTTCCGTTTCTAAGAATACTTGGAATTTCTGCTTTTCATAGCATTACTAATGATCATTGCCCCGCCCACGGCCGCTCAGTTTAAACACTTTTTATGTTTAATTTTGATACCCTTATCTTCAACGTTGAACGCTTTAACACACTCTTCCACATATTGCTCCAACAAACATTGCACAAAGATGCATAAGGCTCCGCACACTTAGCTCCGCCCACTTTAGATCGATTTTCGCGATTTCTAGCAATATTTTATTATCACTATTTATCCATATTTTATTTCCACTATCCATATTTTATCACTTGTTCGCCATCTCAAGATCACCAGACGGCGTATACTGAGAAGGAATGATACATTCGTGACAAGGATGTCAAATAACCTAGGTGTAGAGGTTTCTATCAAATTCGGTGTCAAAAAGACTGCTAGCGCCAAAGTGGCGCCGAACATCTTTCTGGCTCATCCTTGTTGGAAGCTCACCTTCCACAGGTTACTCGAAAGCAAGAAAAAGATCGATTGAGACTGCCGGCAATAACCCAAAAAGTGATGGAGAAAGTCATGAGCCACCGGTGGCTCAGATTGTCCCACGTGGCCACTCAGTTTAATCTCGTTAATTCTTACGTCATTTGCTCCAATACACTGGAGACGTTGTGGTGCAATAGTTCGTCAAGTTACGGTAGGCCCCAATTTGCACGTGGAGTTTTAAAGCACGTAGTAGTTGCTTTCGTCATTTTTTAAGGTTTTTTAGTGGCCATTGTCTTTGGAATAGTCCAGACTGCATTTAGTATTAGAACTTTTCAGAAAGTCACAGCAAGCCTAAGTGTTGAGGATCGTTGCTCATGATTAGGGGGAAAGGAACGCTGGGGAAATGGGCCATTTCCCCACCCCTTTAGCTCCTTCTCCCTCGGCTAAAGAAAACGAGAGTACTCCGTATACTGACATGGAGGCTTCTTATGTTTTCATCATGTCTTTATACAGCACAATCTTGGTATTCTTTTCCACTAATGGAACCTCTGCCCATTTTTCAGAAGCTAGCAGTAATGCCTGTGATTTGAAAAAGCCCACGAACGAGTTCATTTCGTATCCTCTCACTTTGCGTTGATTGTTCTGTCTTCCGTTGGAGCATGCCGCTCCTGATTTTCGCAAGACTTTGTTACCTCATTGACAAGCTTTCCTTCAGAGGCGTTAGCGAATCCAGTAGCTGCCGATTTGGCACTGAATGGGGTGGGCTAAACTCCGGCAGCCAGCCGAAGGTCTGCCATTTTTCACCCGAGAATCGAAGCCAACCCGACTTGGATTAGTGAGAGTACGTTGCTCTTTTTTATTGCCTAAAAATCTTTTTGTAAAGTCTTTTGTTTTCTTCATGATATTTATTATTCTGTTTTGTGTGCCTTGTCATTTTGAGTTTAACCTGGGAAGGTTTTTTTGATCAAGTTTTCTTGACAGCTCTTTTGAAAAGCGGTTTTGTCATGATTCTCGAGGCGGCTGGCCTAGAGGGGAAGGGCATCTGCATTTTCACTGCTTCCCATTGTCGTGTCAAGCTGTAAAGTAGAAATTTGTGGACTGTTGTGAATCCATGAAGTGCTTTCCAGTCTTCGTAGGAACTGATTGTCAACTCTTGTAAATTGTTGTAAACTAATGAGTGTGATAAAGGGAAGCAGCGAAGGTGCAAAATCCCCTCCTCTAGCTGGTCTTCAGCTGAGTCTCTTCCTTAGCGAATAGCTTCGGAAAATAATAGAAAACGCTTATCGATGAATGACCTTTTGCATTTTTGAGGTTTCTCTCTCTGCCTGAGTTCGTAAGCGTTTTTATCGCGTCATTTGGCTCAGCCTCTGAGAGGGGAAAAGTGTTAACAGAAAAGAGGGAAGGAAGGGATGCAGGAGGAAAGGAGGTTACGCCGTTTTTGAATACATTGAGATCCAATCTTGCTTCCATTTGAAAGCTAAACCACTGAATTACAGAGAGAAAATCATGATGATGTAACATTTGGGTTTTGAAACAGTATTTCTAATAATTAAACCTTCCTGATTTCGACCACTGTGGGATCCTCTTTCCTTCATTTGATCCTGTACTGGTCATTCGGAGATTTTTCGAATACAGGGATAAAGTGTTAAAGTCAACCAGCGTTGATCGTTCGCGTTTCTGGGATGGCCATGCATTCCGCTTCCGTACAGAATCATAGTGGCCCATTGAATGCGGTGTGGCCTATAAAATGACTTGCTGAGACTAGTCAGTGTTTCATCCCAGCAGACAAATGTTTTGGGTACTGATTACCGTTCGGCCATGAAAGGTATACGGATTCTGAGATATGGCGATATAGCTATATACAAAAGTCATCTTTTCTGCATACCACCGCTATCTTCAATTCTTATTTTTTGCATGACTATTAGGTACAGCACGTCCTAATGGATGAACTTCAAGTTAATAAATAAATAAAATATTGAAGGGAACGATGGAGGTCATATGATGGGGGCTATTTTGGCATCATAGAAGTACTGTTGTTTTTCTTTGCTAAAAATATCCTATTCCTCTCGTCATTTTTCCAGTTATGGCGTTCATTTCCTCGTTTGAAAAGAACCGTGATAGGAATAGTACTGCTGTCATTGACATGCGCCTTCACATTCATTATTGCATCGCCTTTCATCCAGAAAACGCGATGTCGCATCGGGAACGAGGCGCGCTGGAAACGATTATCCAGGTGACTTCTTTTTCTCACGTATCTTTAGCAAAGACAGACGACTATCTTACATAAGCTAAATGCGGTATTCTTTCCACCAATTCTAGTTAAATGTTCCACCACTCACATTTTTTTTAGTGCACAGGCATTTCTACTTCATTTATTCAGGTTGTCGGTCCAACATCTTTCCGGGCTTGACCTCTGCCTGAACTACGGGACAAAATCGATCAACATTCCATATGTTACAGCTAGTTTTTACATGATGCTGCCTTTAAGAGAATTAGTATACACAGTCTTATTTACTTTATGTCTTTGTCTTTTTTTTTGCTCGTAGTCGGTTTTTGCTGCCTTTTTGCTCTACCCTGATTTCTGCTACACTATTTAAGCTACAACGATGCGATTCGCATTTTCCCAAGTTCTGGCTGTTACTCTTGGGCATTTTGGGGGTTGGTGGGGGGGAGGAACATTCGGCGTGATGACCAGGAATTGCATTAATTTAGATGTAACAGTAATTTTGGCGTAAACACCATTTGACCCAACAGCGTTTTTCTTTCATGTTCGTTATGAACGCGTGAACAGGGATCACTTTGTACTTTGTTTCAAAAAATCACACGAGTTATCAGCACGATTTTTTTTTTTTCCTCATTGTTACGAAGTCCAATGGTTCAAATGTGGGGGGTGATAAACAGGATCGCCGGATTGATGTCGTGGGCGATGTGGCCATCGGATTAATTCCGGTGCTTGAATCACTATCTAGGAGTACTTCCATAGCAGAACAAGCTTAAGCGGTGATAGGTTTTGACTCTTTCGAGTTGTCACAGTGGAAAAGTGCAGGAATAATCTAGGCCTTATACTGATTGGCGTAATGCAGTAAGTACAGTCTTGTAGGTTGAAACTAAAGCCCTGCCCCCCCCCCTAACACGCCGCGGACGCCGCGCTAATCCGTTTACAACCAATTGTTGTCGCTTGACCTCTTCAACTATTTGCGAAGAACGGGCTGGCGCCGCTCCAAACCAACTGCCACTGGCACGCCCCAGCATTCGCAGTGAACAAGACTGTATCAGGCACGTCGGCGGGATCGGCAACGGTGCTTAACCGCTCCCTACTCAGAGAAGCAAGTTTTTGCTTTTACTCAACCCTCACTAGCTGTTTCTTCACATATCACCCGTACCGGTTTTTGCTTTGAATTGTACTGCGTGATAAAACGGTGTCTCATTACGAAGGTCTTGCTAATCGTCAATGAAGAATCCGGCGATGACGTAGGTCTATTTGAAACTTTTGAATTGCTCCAAACACGTCTAGACTCCCCAGCTAATTAGAAATTTTGGAAGCTTTTGTAATTAATACGAAGGTATTTTATTTCGTTTTATTTTTATCTTTTTGGCTCAATGGACACATTGTTAAGGTCCTACTAATGCACGACAACGAGCTGTCGTGGACGCCTTCAAACATGCTTGGAAAGGATATCGTGAACGCGCTTGGGGAAAAGATCAACTGAAACCGATCAGCGGTGGCTATTCGACTTGGTTCGATACTGGTTTAACTATTGTAGACTCACTTGATACAGCTATTATAATGGGGCTCAAAAAAGGTACGATTGTGGCCTTCTAGTACTGATTTTAATGCATGTGGCCTTCTAGTACTGATTTTAATGCATAGATTCAGTCATTTTCAGAAGTAGCACAGGCGACAGAATGGATACGTGATTCACTTACCTTCGAGAAAGACCGCTATGTAAATCTGTTTGAAACGACAATTCGAACATTAGGAGGCCTCTTGAGCGCATATCACCTCACCGGTGACAGGGTTCGTTTCCTACCAAATTTTTTCGAGTATATAACTCAGAGTGGTTGTATTGATTACAATTCAGATGTTCGTTTCGAAAGCAGAGGATCTGGCCGGTCGACTGATGGGTGCATTTACAAATTCAAAATCTGCTATACCTTTGAGTGATGTCAACCTAAAGACAAGGTGTGTAAGAAATTCCCAAGTTGGTATCATGTATTCTTTTCCTCTAGAGCCATCGCTCACTTCAGAATTCTGATAAAAAAGCTTGAATTCTTTTCAAATTACGCAGCGTTCATACTCTGCGATTTGGCGTTTTGGAAAATCGCGTTTTTAGCGGATCGGCGTTTTTGGGCGCCGATCGATCGAAAGAAAAGCGTAAGTCGATCGACCTACTCTTTTCTTTCCGTTCCAGACGCCAGCTCGCTCAAAATGTTGATTCTTCCAAAAAGGGGTCGCAAAGACGCAGCCTTACGAAATACTGCATGGGTTCTCTCTGCTTTACTCGAGAGTTGATTCACGAGGCTTTGTAAGCATTGTAATCCTTTTTACTCTCAGTATTTGATGTAATATCTCAAGTGGAGTTTTAAGCAAAGCGAAGTCGCCACCATGGAGTAGCGAGTCGTCTTTATCTGAAGTGACTTCTCTACAACTTGAATTCCGTGATCTATCTCGAGTAACAGGAAAAAGGATCTATGAGGTTGGCTTTTGATGGGTTGTTATATTCCTGCAGTTCTCTGTTACCTGAAACCGTTACGTTATGGAATTCTTTCAGGAAATCTCTTTCAAAACCTCGAAGCATATTCACGATATCGGCTGTAGCGATCATGGTGGCCTTTGTGAAATGTTTTTAAACGCAAATACGGGACAGTTCCGAAGTAATTATTCCACCATAAAGTTTTAATCGTTCTAGGCTTTCACAAAGGTCATGAAAAAAGTCTGAAATAACTTTCAGCCGGGTCAACAATCACATTCGGGGCACGAGCTGACAGCTACTATGAATATCTTTTCAAGCAATGGCTGCAAACTGGCAAGACTATTGACTGGTGAGCTGTTGATGTATTTTGGTTTCATCCTTGTTTCTTTGATTCTCCGGCTTCTCCGCGCTTAGTAATATTATTATTCATTTCAATCCAGATTGTTCGCTTGGTGTTAAAAAAAACTTCGGCACCGCTCACTCTTTAGCGCTCACCTTTCGAGGTTGAAGCCATGTTTTTACCATCATTTGTCGACGAACATTGAGCCTGGTATTCGTCCCAGACGTAACTTGATATCCTGAACATGAATTTTACATCCGTTTGACATGAAAACACCTAGTCGTGGCCGGATAGATTTTACTGGATATTTGCTCGGGCATAATTCCATTTCTTAAACATAGATATTGTATGCACTCAGTGAATGAGCCTTGCACTCAAAAGCAGCTCAAATGGCTAAATTTGTTGAAAAATTGCTCAAAAATGCTTTCATCTTCAGAATACGGATATCATATAAGTTGGATGCGGAAGCTTTTGAAAGTTCCGAGAACGATGTGTTGTCTGCCCTTAAATAGATCTCCGTTCAAGGCGCATCGGGAGCGATCACCTTTTCTGAGTCATGCGGAAATGTGGCATATGAAATAGGTTGTGATATTGACATTTAGACGGTCATACAGATTTGACCGAAAAGCACAAAATATTGCCAAAATACTTTTTTGATTTGACAGAAGCCATACTTTTCCAGAAGTGGGGGTTTTGGTGAAGCAACAGCTTTTAGCACAGTCATTTTCAGGTTGTTCGATGACTACAAAACAGCAATGGAATCCATGAAGTCGAAATTGTATAGGTACTCGGAGCCAAACCACTTAGGTTTTGTTGGCGAATTGCTGCAAGGGAACTCTTTTTCTCCAAAAATGGTCAGCATTTGGCGTAGAAAATAACAACTAAAATGAGCAGTCCTGCAAATAAATGCTGCTATGATTTAGGACCACTTAGTATGCTTTCTTGCTGGAACACTAGCTTTAGGCAGCCGGAACGGTGCACCTGAAGAACATATGAAGTTAGCACAGGTTAGTTTGATTTCGTTTTGATTGCCTTGATTACAAATACAATTTATTGAGGGCGGTTCCCACTTGTTTTTTTTCTTCAATCGCGAAGCTGACTATGCATGATACGTGAATGTTTATAATCGGATCTTCTCGGCAGAGCGTGTCAGGCAATGTACAAAAACCCAACTGGTCTTGGACCGGAAATTGCTTATTTCAATATGGTGCCCGGTCTCAAAGAAGACCTCAGCATTAAGGTAAGTCTCCATCTTGATGAATGTTGCTTTGTGGAGACGGTCAAGACAATCGTAATTTGCCGCTCCATCGCGCGCGGCGATGGGCGCAGCGCTTCTCTCAACTACTGCTCACGCCTGAAACGCCTGGACTTCATGTGGCAATGTTTAACGACGTCAGAGAACTGTTGCCTGGTTTTTGTTATGGCGCGATTTGTCGCCTCTTTTTTTAGCTCAACCTAGAATAGACGCATTTACGCTGCGCGCTCATCAGCGCGGCGAGTTACGATGGTCTTGTCACATGACAGCTTTTTCGTTTTTATAAGTTCAACTTACCCATTCAGCCCCTTGATGCACACTCGCTGTTGAGGCCTGAGGCGATTGAAGCTTGGTTCTACCTTTATAGGTTCACGGGTTAGTTCAATTACTTCGGTCATTTTTAAACTCCAGGCTGATGCTTGACTTACAGGTGATAAAACTTATCAGAATTGGGGATGGGAAGCTTTTCAAGCGATCGAGAAGTACGCACGAGTGAAAAATGGATACTCATCGGTGAAGAGCGTCAAAAGGATACCAGTAACGCACAGGTTCTACCACCATTGAGTTTTTGAAGTCATGAGATGTATTTAATATGTAAGATACATTTTCAGTGACCTCATGGAGTCCTTTTTCCTAGCGGAAACTCTAAAATATCTCTACCTCTTATTTGCTGATGATCAGAAAACTTTGTTCCCGCTAGACAAGTGGGTGTTCAACACTGAAGCGCATCCACTACCGGTCTACTCTAACTGAGGCCTTTCACGAGAATCGATATTGACCGTGATTTTTACCTAAGTCTTGAAGGTACTGTATTATATTTCCCACAGAATTCTATGAGATTGATCCACTATTGTCATTCATTTGATGGAGAGCCCCTATCTGTTGTTTCTGTTGTGATTCTTTTCTCAAGGCAGTGGGCATGATAGCTTGGGTCGGGCGATCTGCCAACGTCATTGGTGGGAAGGTCGAGTGGGGTGTGGCAAAATGCCTGTCTCGCAGCCCTTCCACCAATGACGTTGGCAGCAACCACTCGCCCCAGTCATCGCGCCCACTGCCTTTTATGCGTTCTAAAATTTAGTTTAAAATGTGAAAATCTTCCGAGTTCGCCGCATGTGTACCGGTTGAAGTGGCAAAGACAAGTCTTTGGTATCCCGGAATTTCATGGCATTAGTTCTGTTTTATCACTTGACGTTGCCTTCGAGAAAGATTTAGAAGTCTTTCGATTTCATGGATTAAGTCTCAGTACGATTGGAAAGATGACAGGGTCGGTATTTTCTCATTTCATCGAAGCCTTCGGTTTATTCCTCAACATCGTTCCTTTTTGCTGGCCAAATCGTCTCTTTGTTTCCTATTTCTTTTGAAACCTTCGCGTTTGTTTATATAGAAGACGGTTCCTAGATTCAAAAGTTACACCCGCGTCTCCTCTAAAACCAGGGCGCCTCGTACGAGGGATGCGACGGGGATCGCAGATTTTTGGGGAGAGAGAATGGGTAAAGTTTTTTTGACGTTTTTCCGTTTTGCTATATGCCCCTGGAGCCTTCGGGTAACTCCCCTCACGAAAGCACATGCCCTCGCTAAAACTTAGGTCCTTCCCCAAGTTTCTCGAGTGTCCGAGCAATGCTGTCTTAGATAAAGAGGAAGGACAACGAGGGGACGATGTTGTATTTTTCTGTTTGTTTTCTAGGTTTCTGGTTGAAGTCTAGTCGATTTTATTTCATTGCATGTGCAGAAATCTATGGAAAACAACTAATATTTCATTGAATGAGTCGAACTGGTAGCGATTTCTATTTGCCTTATGAAGGTGAGATCACTGCTGTATTACCATGGCATCCATTGTTCATTGAGGACCTTAATTATTGTTTTTTTTTTTCAATTCTGACGGTGTAGGGCGCTGCTATAGTTGTATTGCACGGTTGAATGAGCTGCGTGTTGCTTGAAACATTCCATTCAATGTTTACTTGTGTGTAATTTGTAGCTGTTGCGGTTATGTAGCTTTTCGAGGCGAACTCAATATTTTTATACAATTTAAAGCAATAAAATACTTGATAAACAATGCTTGAAACATTTCTATTCATACCATCGCGTTTTGTGCAAATACTTTGGCAGACTTGAGCTACAACTTCGCGAAAGGAGCAAAGGGGATGTCACTGGCGTCCGTTCAAGGATCAGCGGGACGGCAAGTGATGCACGTGACAGAAATAGTTAGAAATATCTGCTACACGTGATTCAGCAAATTGCTGTCCAAGCTACATGTAGACTTACTGTAGTGATTGTCATGAAATCCAGATAACAGATACTCCCTATCCCGGACATGGAGAGGGCGTGGCTGCGGCAGGAGGGTGAGAGTTGTTTCAAGTGGAATATCCCACGAAAAGTTCACCCAGCGCCGTGCCTGATTGTAAGTGAACCGCGCAGTCACGGGAGGCGGGTGAGAGAATCGTATTTTGCCGCCTCGCCGCGCGCGGCGATGGACGTGGCGTTTTCTTAATTCGTGATACCTCTCGATTGGAGCACAGAATTTCACTTGGACCACGAAGCTGTAGATATTTACGACTATTTTCGGTTCTACATTGCCTGTTGTCCCCTTCTACGATCTGGAACCATCGTCATTTGCGGCAGGGCACATCATTGATTGGGGATTATAGTCGACTCTGTACGACCCCTCCCTTTTTTTGGTGGGTGGGAGGGGGTTGGCACGACCCCCTCCTCCTTCGACCCTCTGTCCCTCCTCATCGAATCGAGCCGTCGAGCGGTTGGGGGAGTAAATAGCACATGTGAAACAGGAAAAGCCTCGAAACAATACGACCTCGCTCTTCTACCTAGTTCTCAGATTTTCCCCAACTTCCTGCCACTTTTTCCAAAATTTCCGGAAACTTCCCTACTTTTCCCCAAAAATTTTGCTGTCGAGCGGGGAAGCATATAGTACGCATGAAACAGGAAAATCACCAAAAGTCAACCACCACTCCTACAACGCCAAAACGTAAATACGACCCCCCCCTTTACAACGTCCGTGAAGCGAGAAAAATCAACTATCAAAATAAATTTTTCCCAGCCCAAATACGACCCCCTCTCCTGGCGGCCAAATACGACCCCCTATTGGGGATTCCCCAACAACGATGTGCCCTGATTTGCGGGCGCAACGTCGCACGCCACACCCATCAGCGCGTCGCATTACGATTCTCTTGTCAAGTATCCCGCAGTCACCCACCCCCCCCCCTCACTTCCGCGATTCACAGCATGTTACATGTGTTATGGCAATTATAAAAGTGAGTAATAAAAACTGGCAACCTTTTACTAAGGATAATAAGAACGTCAGAAAGTCATTACCTTTCGATTTATTTCGTTCTTCTTGTTGGGCATAGTGCTTCTGTACTTATAAAAACTGTACTATCTATAAGATTTATTTTCAAGGTACGAAAGAGAGGGAAGTAGAAAGACAAATGACGTCTACTCGTAACTAACATATATTGATGAGGCACTTGAACAAAATGAGTACGTAAGAACTTGTTAGGGTACAATACAGTATACGGAGAAGGACGATAAAGCAGTCCTTGGCTGCGAGGAACTGTGCCTACAGAAACAGGCCGTTCAGTTTCGTATGCCCTAAGCCTTTCGTAAGCATCTTCCATGGGGAAAAAAGATGGTGAATGGAAATATTGACGTTGCATGACGGCAAGTAATATTTGCCAATAGAGGGAGACGATAAAAAGTTAATGTGAAAAACTGGTCCGGTTCAAAGCTGAGAGGACCCGGATGAAAGGAAGACTACAAAATATTAAAATAGTTGATTAGCAGTATCAATAGTTAGCATGAACTCGTAAGTACGTAGATGTCTGAATAATACATCTCAAACAAATTCGTGCGTATCGGTCTTTCCAAACCCTAAACAAACATCTGCTTGCATGGACAAAATCACCTAAAATCAGAAGTTACACCTTTCCACCACCTCTGCGTAGAAGCGTAATGCACGGCGCACACTCGGACCAAATCGATCGATGATAACCAAATTATGCTTTGACTCAGTTCAACGGGAATATGTGTTTTGAAGGCATATTGAAGTTCGCGAATGAGTATCCTTACAATGGCACAGAAGGAGTCGAGCTTTGAGTGGCTCAGAATGTCGCCCAAGGGTGACCCATCTAAATATCTTCTAAACTAGCGGGTCTTCAGGAAAACTGTAGAGCTTATTGAAAGAGGAAATATTGGGCGTCTGATAGCGTTTTCAATTTTGCAAAGGATTGCAGAAATTATTCTCGTCTGAAGTATAAAAACCTGCTGTTCTCACTAATGCGTCCGTAACCCATCCGGAATATTTCACAAACGGGGTAGATTCAGATTACGAGTAGGTAAAAAACGCAACAGTAGAGACATTGCTTCAAGATGTCCCCTTCCTTTCTCGAAAGCCCCACACCAAAAAGCTATTAACCCCGGAAAAATGCCTCGCGATTTCTGCACGGCCAACAGATTTGCTCCACCGCTAATTTGTCATGGAATCATAAGGCGGAGGCAGGCGCTTGCGAGTCGTTACATATCTGAATTCTCGTCAAAGCAAGCAATTACAGTCGGAAAGGGGAGGGGGGACTGTACCGGGATCCTTTACCAGGGATCGTACTGACACTACCAATTCAGCCTTTCGCCTAACACATCACACCGTTGTCTGTGCCAGATACGTTCAAAGTCACAGTTACAATTCCTGTAAATGATAGAGCCAAAGTGGGAAATTCGAGCGCAGCCATGGCGGCCTTCACACAATTTGAAGCTGGCTCGAGCTAGCTTCTCGAGGCGGTGAGGCCAGACAAGAGCAGAGGGCGAGGCATTCAGGCAAACGAGTTAGACACCGATCAAATATCTATCACGAGGGCGGAGTTCACTCATTTTTTGGGCAGTCATTGTCGCCAAAAATGCTTCACGTCGTACTTGGAACTTTCTGGACGTTGTTACATACATTGGCTGGATATGATTTTCCGATTTCCGCTATCTCCCTTTAAAGAGCTGCAGAGACCTATAAGATGCCCAGTAAGTGCCTTCGAAGTAAACCTTAGCCAAATCGTAGGGCTTCCTTACCTCTGTTACAATCGTAGTTAGTTCGTTGGCAGTCTCTAAGAATGATTGGTTTCAAATTCTCATGGAACTTTGAATGGAGACCTAAGTTCTTCGACAAAGCATCAAATACTCACTGCTAATATGCAGTCCAGAAGTGTTACGGGGATCTCCCAAACGAGTTCTGTATGGTCAAGGCATAATGTATATGCAGAGCTGGCGCAGATTGTCGACGAGGGGGCATTTTGCACTTTTGCTACCTCCCAACGACGTGTCGGCCTGTCTAGACAGCCTCTTCTCGAGTTGACAGGTTTTAACAAGATGACTTGACTACCTTGTTCCAGCTGCACAAGTGTTCACAGGTTTCGCCAGTGTAAGACATGTAAACTGGAACTGAGGAAGCAATGATAGTACAAAATGCCCCCCCCCCCCCGGACAAACAGCGCCTTGTAGAGCTTCCGTGCAAATGTGCCGATATGAAACGAGTTTCGTGCATGGCATAGCTGCCCGCGGACTGCCACTATAATGCGACCTGGCTTCAATGGTTTCCCTTCCACCAGGAGGTCGAGGCTTGCTCCCCGTTGGAACGGAAATTCTTGCTTAGTCTCCAGTAGGAGCTATCACTACAGTTTTAGAGTTCCCCGAGTTAAAGGCAGAACCCGCGATTATTTTGCCTTTCAGAGAGATGGTTTAGGGCTTCCACATAGACGATG